GGGGGGTATCTGCGGGATAGCCGCGGGTAGCTGCTGGCACTGGCTCATTTTTGCAGAGGCGGATTCAAATGTTGTAACCCTGGCAAATTTCAGCATTACTAATTAACGAATATTTCTCTTCCGCTAGATGTCTGTTTTCCAGATTGCTGTCTTCGGCTTTTGTTTGAGTACAATCCATCTGTGTCGCTGGTTCTTCATTTCAGAGCCTCAATACTCCGCAGTCCATGGTGCAACTTTGAACAATAGATTGGTTTTGCCCTGAAATTGTTTCTACATTAATTACTAACAGTGAGATCTGAAAGCACCAACTCTCTGTGGGACAATGGGCCTGTTTGTGACATGTTGAATCACAGAAATCCTCTTGAAATTATCCCCCCTAGTGTGATGCTCACCATACTTTCTAGGGCTCCCCACTATCCTGCATTGCTGGGCCAGATCCCCTGGTCTCCCTCCCCCCCCCCAGCCAAACCACAGAGTTGGGGTTACCATCCCTCCTCCAGAGCAACATAGACTTTGAACCAGTTTTGCTCTGGGAGGACTCAGCCATAAAGGCTCAACACCCAGGAAGCCAACCTCTCAAAGGGATCAAAACCCCAAATAAATCTGTCTTATAATGTGGAAAGTTTTACATGATGAAAGCATGAGAAGCGGTGGATGTGGTATACCTAGACTTTAGTAAGGTGCTTGATATGGTCTCGCATGATATTCTTATCAATAAACTAGGCAAATACAACTTAGATGGGGCTACTATAAGCTGTGTGCATAACTGGCTGAATAACTGTACTCAGAGAGTAGTTATTAATGGTTCACAATCCTGCTGGAAAGGTAAAACAAGCGGGGCTCTGCAGGGGTCTGTTTTGGGACCGGCTCTGTTCAATATCTTCATCAACGATTTAGATATTGGCATAGAAAGTACGTTTATTAAGTTTACAGATGATACCAAGCTGAGAGGGGTTGCGACTAGTCTGGAGGATAGGGTCATAATTCAAAATGATCTGAATAAATTGGAGAAATGGTCTGAGGTAAACAGGATGAAGTTTAATAAAGACAAGTGCGAAGTGCTCCACGTAAGAAGGAGCAATCAGTTTCACACATACAGAATGGGAAGTGACTGTCTAGAAAGGAGTACAGCAGAAAGGGATCTAAGGGTTATAGTGGACCACAAACTGAATATGAGTCAGCAGTGTGATGCTGTTGCAAAAAAAGCAAAAATGAATCTGGCATACATTAACAGGTGTGTTGTGAGCAAGACACGAGAAGTCATTCTTCTGCTCTATTCTGTGCTGGTTAGGCCTTAGTTGGAGCATTGTGTCCAGTTCTGGGCACTGCATTTCAAGAAAGATGTGGAGAAATTGGAGAGGGTCCAGAGAAGAGCAATGAGAATGATTAAAGGTTTAGAGATCATGACCTCTGAAGGAAGGCTGAAAGAACTGGGTTTATTTAGTTTAGAAAAGAGAAGATTGAGGGGGGACATTATAGCAGTTTTCAGGTATTTAAAAGGGTGTGATAAGGAGGAGGGAGAAAACTTGTTCATCTTGGCCTCTGAGGATATAACAAGAAGCAATGGACTTAAACTGCAGCAAGGTGATGACCTCTCGAGGTCCTTTCCAGTCCTAGTATTCTATGATTCTATGAAGGTCTGTCCGCTTTATCAGTGAAAGAGAGCTATGCACAGTGGTTGTTATTGCAAGTGAAAACAATCACATCAAAGTAAATTACTATATTAAAAAGAACTAGGGGGCTGCAGCCCCTGCTCACTACGCTCACCAACACCCCATCTTGTGGAGGGTAGGCAACTCCACAAAGCAGTGAGCAAGCGACCAAGGAGCTTGCGAACTGGTGAGTGTAACAGGGAGTTTAGAGAGGGAGTTCTCCAGGTAAAGGAGAAGCAGATACAGGACTCTTGAGGTAAGTGTGTGTTGTGTTTGGGGCTTTCTTACTGTGTGCTGAGCTTGTGATTGTGAGTGAGGGTTGGTGTGTGGATTTTTGTTTGTTTGTTTGTTTTTTCCCCTGTGTTTGTGAGTGAGG